CAAATTCTTTGAGAGTGTTATTTATGTCCTTCTTAAAGTCCTCTATCATCATCATTAGAAGTGATTTTAGATCTGGTTCTTGCTTTCCTGGTGATATGGGGAGTTCAGGACTTTCTAATGTAGGAGAACTAGGTTCTGATGATGGCAAGTACCTTGGGTTGCTGGTGCTTGTGTTCTTGCGCTTGCCTTTCGCCATCTGGATCTCCTTTGTGCTATCTGCGCTGTCTCTGACTGGAGCCTGTCTTTCCTATTATCTTGGTTGTGTCAGAACTATTTGGGATGGGTTTTGGTGCTGGGGTTAAAGCTGAGGCCCAAGATCTGCTCAGTGCTCAGGTGGAGACCGGAAGGAACCCGTGCTCTGGGCCAGGAGTGAATTCCTGGGTCCCAGTGGGTCCTGGTTACTCCGTTTGAGGCAAGTGTTGCTGCCTCCTTAGGATACTGCTGGTGTTAGAGCTCCTGGGAGCTCCGTTTCCTCTGGGTTTTGTGAGATTGGATGCAGAGCTGACTCCCGGGATCTGCTGAGCGCTCCGGGCCAGGAGTGAATTCCTGGATCCCAGTGGGTCCCTCTGTTTGGGGCAGTTGTTGCTGTCTCCTTACCTGAAATACTGCCCGAGTTAAACTCCTGGGAGGCCCTCTTCCGCTGGGTTTTGTGAGGTTGGGTACAGAGCTACCACCTGAGATCTGCTGTATGCTCAGGCCCAGACCGGAAGTCCCTAGAAGTTCTTTAGATTTAACATTTTCTTTGTCTGAGGTATCCATTCCCACTTTTGTGTATCCAATGCCTGAAATTCTTTCTTGCATCTCTTGTAGTCTATTAGTGAGTCTTCCTCTGAGTTTCCTGTTCAAAGTCCTAAACTTTTCATTTCCAGATATTATCATCATCATCATCATTATTATTTTTTTCATCATCATCATCATTATGGTTTTTCCTTATTTCCTGTTTCCACTTTCAGATCTTGAACTGTTTTATTCATTTCCTTCCACTGTGTTTTCTAGATTTCTTTCAGGGATTTTTTTTTTTTTTCTCTTTGAGGCCCACTATCATGTTCCTAAGGTGTAATTTAAATTCTTTTTCTTGTACTTCAGCTACATTGCAGTACTGAGTCTTCTTTGGTGGGGCTGGTGGGCTCTAGTGCAGACATGTTGTCCTGTTTTTATGTTGCCATCTAGGCATCTAGGTTTGGGAAGATTGTAATTCTTGGTGCTGATATATTTGGTCATCTTTGTTGGGTCAGTGTTTTGTTCCTTGGTTTCTGTTGTCTTCTCTGGTTCTTAGGATAGTGTGGTGGCTGTGTTTCCTGATACCTGTGATTACTAGGGATTCTAGGTAAAATGTGTTTCTAGGTATTGTGAGCTAACAGTAGTAATAGGGTATGAGTTAGGATAGGGAGCCAAAGGGCCCAAAGGAGTGAGAAAAGCTAGGGACTGCTTTGTCTCCTGGGAATGAGGGCACAGAGTAAGGAGAGGTCACTACAGAGCTGGGGATAAGAATGGGGGATTGGACTTGGAGAGATAGAGGGAAAGGTGAAGGTCTGTATTTAGCCTTTCTGCTTTGCTGCCTGGAGTGGCCCAATGGTTAACAGAGAATGCCTTTTGGATTGGGTGGCTGGGTTAAAGAAATGAGTGGGGTGAAGGAAGTTTGGAGAGGAAGATCTGTGTGATCCGTTGGAGAAGGAGACAGAGAGGAAAGGGAAGCTGCAGAAGATGGTCTGCTGCAGAGCTTGGCATGACAGGGAGGAGGATGGATTTGGAAGACAAGAGAGAGAAAGAAATGAAGATATGCAGTTAGCCTACCTGCTTCCCTAGCTGGAGTGGCCAGTGGATTTACAGGGAAGCCTGCTGCGGTTGCTGGGATAAAGCAATGAGTTGAAGGAAGGAACTTTGGAGAGGAAGATCTGTGTGATGCACTAGGGTCGTGGGGGAAGGGAGGCTACAATAGGTCGTCTGCTACATATCTGAGTATAAGACTGGGCATTGGTTTTGGAGGGACAGAAGGAGAGGTGAAGATCTGGATTAGTCTTCTTCCTTTCCTATTTGGAGTGGCCAGTGGGTTCCCAGGGAATGCCCGTTGGGATTGGTAGCTAGGATAAAGCAATAAATAGGGGAGGATGTTTTGGGAGGGAAGTTGTGTGTTATATCCACTGAAGATAGGCCACAGCAGGTGGTCTGCTGCAGAGCTGGGGTTGTGACTATGGGATTGGATTTGGAAGAGCAGAGGGAGAAGAAGGTGACGATCTTCAGTTAGTCTGTCTGCCTCCCTCCCTGGCTGTAGTCCTTAGTCTTAAGTGTATTTCAAAGGGTTTGCCAAGTTTTGTGTTCATTTTCGTGTGTGGTTATTATGAACTGCTTTAGTTTTTGCATGTGTGGAATGGTAATTATTTTTCATTCTGTTTTTAAAGATACTTTTCATGAATTTAGGCATTTCAGTGGGTAGTTCATTACTTTCAGAGTTTGAAATACACCATTTCATCCTTTTCTAACCTTTAGGGTTTCTCTGTGTAGCCTTGACAGTCCTATTGGGTTCAGGGATAAGTCTAGAAACCGTGTTTCAGAGACCAGAAGCTTAAAATGAAAAGCGTTATTCTCTAAGTGTTCTGGGGGGTAGCCAGTTAGGAATTTGAACCCTGTCAGGGAAAGGAAAGAACATTTATAAAAAAAAAAAAAAAATCCACAGGTTGGGTGGGATATAGTCTTGACCAATCACAGGTAATGTACAAGGATAGTTCCATTGTGGTTTTCGACCCAGCTTAAAGCCAACCATTCAAGTGCATTGAATTGACATTTGTGGTTTGGGCTTATCTGGGCCACCTAGGCCTGGGGTCATGAACTTAGTTTAGTTTGACTTTAGGAGCAAGATGGATAAGCTGTCTAAAGATGGCTGGACTCAAACAGCTGTCTCCTTAGAGTAACACAATGTACATGTGCAAATCTAAAACTTGATAATAAAGAGTTGTGAGCTTTTGGAGACCTATACTGACTTCTTTTTCATATCTATTATTAACTGAATCCAAACATATTAAATTGGATAAAATGTTGGAGAAACAATTAGGATGGCCAATTATACCAAGGAAATTCAAGGAGCTAATAATTTTGTTTTTCGAGGCAGGGTTTCTCTGTGTAGTCTTATAAAATAAGGAATATGAAAGGAAGGAAAGGAAAAGAAAGAAATTAGAAACATCATGATCGAGACCTCTTTGGTAAGACTAAGAGACTAAACTAAAAGTTCTTGGCATGTAAGTGGGTATGAATGTGTTTCCTGAAGGAAACACTTTTGAGTTCAGGCCTGTAGAATGTATGTATCAAAATTTCATAATGAAACACATTGTTTCCTGCAATTTCTATGTTCTAAAAAGAAGCCACACTTCAAAGATTTATTAATAGCTAATTTGCTAAGGATTCCCATCAAAATTAATGACCAGTAATTGTGTATTTCTAAAGTAACTACTCAGGAAGTTGAGGAAGAAAAGTGATGAAGCATGACATTAACCTGTAGGCATAACAACCTCTCCTTTAGTCTATTACCCAGCAGAGGTAATGGAAGAGAAAAGTTATTAGGATATGGGGGAAGTGGACCTCTTTAGTAATAGTTCTTTGGGGTCGGGCTTGATCGTTTCTTTTAGTAGTTTAGTCCCATAGCAGACACCAATTATGACTTAGTAGCTGTAGACTAGTCCTCTAGGCAGGCAGATACCACAATAGGCATTTGTCCCTGCATGTGACTTTGTACTCTGCATTCTAAAAAAATTTTGTTACACTTTCCTCTCTCTCTCTCTCTCTCTCTCTCTCTCTCTCTCTCTGAGTGCGTGCGTGCGTGCGTGCGTGCGTGCGTGTGTGTGTTCACATTCCAGTGTGTGTGGTGTGGACTTTTAGTCCAGCAGAGATTTCTGTAAAAGGCTCGGATCAAATGAGTAGATGCCAGAAAAGATACTCTTGTACCATATGTGGTACAGGTTTCCAGCTTTTGTGAGCCATCATCTGTATTAGGGGTGGGCTTTTGGTGATGTACAGTTCTTTTAATTATTTCTGCTCACTCATGTTCCTGTAAGTAATCCCAGTAAAATGCGTTGGCTTTCCAAGTTGGACTTTGATGCTATCCTTATTTTGGTCTGTCATCAGTTCCCTATCTAGGATAAGTAGACATTTCTTCATATCTCTTCAGAACTGGTTTCAGACAACAACAGATCCATCTTGATACCAAATGTGTGCATGTATATTTGTGTACACACACCCACACATGAAGTGACATATCAAGGAATGATGAGGACATTCTAAGAAATTTGTTTTCCTTGTGTCAAGATTTTGCTATGTAGCTTTGGGGTTCCTGGAATTTGCTATGTAGATAAGGCTGGTCTTGAATTCACAGAGATCCACCTCTGCCTCTTGAGTATGAGATTAAAGGCATGCACCACTGTGCCTGACACATTCTTAGTCATTATAAGACAGAGTTCATCCAGATTTCAGTGGGGTTTTGATCAGAGAAATCTCTTAGCATGTCAGAAATAGGCAAAAAGTTGGAAAGATACTAGGAGTACTTAAAATACTATATTGTTATAAAGCATTCCATGGTAGCAATTCCCCCTTTACTGTTAAGCTGGTTATTGGTATTCCAATGAGTGTCCTCGGGCTTCATAATCAACTGTTATTGACAAATAGATATTTCTACTAACTATACAGGCTCCCTAGAGCTGGTGTCTACTCTGATGGATTCCAAATTAATAAAGATGCAGTATACAGAGAGTAGTGAGTCAGAAGAGATAGTCATGTTCTGGTGTTCTTTTATTATACAGTTTCTTATTAACATCAGAATCGTGTGGCAGTGTGAGAGTTAGAATGAATAGTAAATGCGTGTTTACTATTTATAAATACTTTTAAAAAGTAATGCCAACCATGATGTACAGGCAATATATGAAGAACAAATCATGAAGTGAAGTAATCAAGTCACACTATGTTTACAGTGTTTTTCCACCATTAGTCTTGTAAATTTATGTGGATTATTTTAGGAACAAGTGACCTTTGAGGATGTGGCTGTGAACTTCACCTTAGGAGAGTGGGCTTTGTTGGATTCTTATCAAAAGGAGCTCTACAGAGATGTGATGAAGGAAACCTTTAGCAACCTGATCTCCGTAGGTAAAAAATATAGCATGATAACTTTTCCTTGTTCATTCAGAAAAATAACTGTTTCTTGTTCATCTGTGTACTTGCATAATTTGAAATACTGAAAGATGTTGGTGAATATAGTATGCCTTGTTACATTATACACAGGGTAGTGGGGGAAGTCAAATGTAATGATTTTTAATGTAATGTTGAATAATACTTTCTTTGGGTTTACCTTTCAGGGAAAACTGAGGAAGAAAATATTGAAGATTACCAAAATATTAGGGGAAATCTGAGGTAATGTATAATCAAAGAGAAAGAAAGGAATTTACATCAAATACTTGAAAGTAATAGGAAATCTGAGACTAAAGTAAATAATCCAGATTTACAACTCTCAATGTGAACACATTGAACTTGACCATTCAGAATTGAGGGACTCCCAACTCTGTAAAGGAATGTTACACAATGTCCTGTGACTTTAAACTGTATGAGACATTTTCCAGGTCTCTCATTAACAGAAACTTTCCTTTGAGTACAAAATTATTTAATATATTCTTACCAAGTTAACTCTAGACTTTGAATATAAAATATATGTGTGTTTGGGATATATTATGTTCTACCTTCAATAAAAATATTCAGCTATGTCAATTCCATAAAGCCTGACCCTCACCATTTTGCAGAATGAACATTCGGTTTTGATAACTTTCTGGGAAAGACTATGTTTGCCAAATATGAGCCCGCCATGAAATAAAGATAAGTAAAGGACAGAGCATGAAATGAGCAAAATAAACTACTGTGTATCTGCAGTGTTTTTCACCATTCTTTTTGTAAATGTATGTAGATTATTTTAGGAGACAGCAATGATATTAGAGAAACTAAGAAGACTGTATGATGTTCTCAGGGCCTGTGTCTCAGTGTTCAGTCCTTTCAGGTTTATAAATTGTTGTGGCAGTAAAGTCAACACTTTTTTTCCCCTTTCCCCCTTAGTATGAGGTCTTTCTTTGTGGCTCAGGTTGACCTCAAACTTGCAGTTCCTCAGCCTTTACTTAAGTATTGAAGTAACAAGTGTGGGCACAGTACCCAGCCTCCTACACTTCTCTGAGCTAGACATAAGACTATAGTAGGATTCTTTTTTTTTTTTTTCAGCACTCTCATGGTTGAAGGATTCTATGAATTTGAACGTGGTATTCAGTATAGAGAAACACACCAACAGATTCAAGAGCATAAGTACATGCCTCCTGGAATAGTAGTATATGAAAACAGTGCGTATGAAAATGATGTCATTGCTCTTTCACAGTCAGAGGAGCGCCTCAGAGTTCTAACTGTAGAGAAGCCGTTTGAGTATCAGAAATGTATGGAAAAGCTTATTAAGCATAAGAAATGTTGGAAAGATTTTGCGTATTCTGAGTCCTTTCTTACTCATGAGAATCCTTTGAGAGAGAAACCCTATGGAAATAACCGATCTAATGACCCCCACAGGAGTCTCACTTCTGATCAAGATTATGAGTCAACACCTACTGGAGATAATCTCCATGGATACAAGCAACTTGAAACCACTCTCATGACATGCAATTATGTCCAGTCACATGAAAGAATCCAAGCTGGAGAAAAACCATTTATGTGTAAGCAATGTGGAGAAGCCTTTGTTAATTCCAGTCACCTTATCAAACATTATAAAATTCATACTAGAGAGAAGACTTTTGCATGTAAATATTGTGGGAAAGCTTTCATTCATCCAAGGGCCTGTTATAACCATGAACGAACTCACACTGGAGACAGACCTTATGTATGTAAACAATGTGGGAAAGCATGTATTCATTCTTACCATCTTCTCCAACATGAAAGAAGCCACACCCGAGAAAAACTTTATGCATGTAAGCAGTGTGGGAAAGTATTCGGACGTTCTTCATACCTTCGAAAACATGAAAGAATTCACACTGGAGAGAAACCTTATTTATGTAAGCACTGTGGGAAAGCTTTCAGTGATCCCACAACCCGTAACAATCATGAGAGAACTCACACTGGAGAGAAGCACTATATTTGTAAGCAGTGTGGGAAAGCCTTCATTCGTTCCTCTCAGCTTCTGATCCATGAGAGAATTCACACTGGAGAGAAACCTTACTCCTGTAAACATTGTGGAAAAGCCTTCACCTATTCCAGTGCTTGTTACATTCACGAGAGAATTCACACTGGAGAGAAACCCTATGTTTGTAAGCAGTGTGGGAAAGCATTTACATGTTCCACATACCTTCACAAACATGAAAGAATTCACACTGGAGAGAAACCTTACTCATGTAAGCAGTGTGGGAAAGCCTTTATCCAACATAGGGCTTGTTACAATCATGAAAGGATTCACACTGGAGAGAAACCTTATGTGTGTGTACAATGTGGGCATGCTTTCACTTTTTCAAAATCCCTTCAAATACATGAAAGAAACCACACTGGAGAGAAACCATATGTATGTAAGCAATGTGGGAAAGCCTTCACATGTTCTACATATCTTCACCAACATGAAAGAACTCACAGTGAGAAGAAAGCCAGTGGATAGAACTTCTACCAATGTAATCATTTGAGAGTCTTTGTATCCAGCTTGCTGTTATTGGAAAGAAGAAAGGGAGGGAGGGAGGGAGGGAGGGAGGGAGGGAGGGAGGGAGGGAGGGAAGAAACTAGAGAAAATGAGCAATTGTGTAATTTTTACTTACATATGCAAGTATACATGGGATAAAACCTGTTGTACCAGGTTTGTTGCTGCATGGCTTTTATTCCAACATGAGGGCAGTAGAAGTTTAGAGGATTATAACATTCAATAAGCCTTACATGGATGGAGGGTTTGCGCACTGCTTGGGAGATGTAAGAAGTACCATTTCTAACCAAATGAAATTGTCATTGTATAAAATAAAATTGTCATTATTACATTTTTTTCATGTAGTTGAATAGTATAAGCAAGAAATGTGAAGGGACAGAGGCAATTTTTTTTGTAAACTATTACTGAAAACCTGAAGTACATGAAAAACTGTAATAAATGATTTTATTTTGTTTCATTCTTAAGCATATACTTAAAAATAACTGAAAAGCTTTTTAAGTATGGTTTGGCAAATAAAATAAACTTTGGCATTACTTCATTTGCCTGTTTTCTTCGAGGACTGGAAAACTGGGGCAGGGCAGGAACTTGAGCCCACAGTTGAGAACCCCAGAACACTCTGCAAGGAACAGTAGCAACTGTATAAAGAAACTACTTGAGTTTGGGTAATAAAAAGTCTGTTTGGTAAATTAATTGAATTTCAATTTAATGGCTGCTGTTTTTTAAAGCAAGGAATGCAGTTTCTTTTGTTAGAAGGCTGTATTGGATTTACTAAATTCAGATGTATTTGTAATCGTCCAGTATATTTAATTTTTAGGTACATTTTGAGTAATCATGTTTCCTATAAAGTTATAAATGTATACTTGTTAATATTTTTCTGGCTGTTATATTATGACATGTTCATTTTTGATATTATTAATTACTTTGCAGTTTCCTTACATTTAGGTGCATACTTGGATTTTCTCAAAGTAACATTCTTACATAGATTTTATATTTTATATCTTTAATGTATATTTTCCTCCAATAAGTTTTTGGTATTTTGTTATTTATTTTGGACGAGTGTAGTTGTGTATGTGCACCAAAGCACATGTATGGAGACTATTCAAGAGTTGCTTCCCTGCCAGGCTTCCTTAGCAAGCACCTTTATCACTGAGCCTTGTCATCAGCCCCAAATAGGATTTTTGTCCTGTTGTTTTCTTTTGGTTTTTGAGACACAGTCTCTCCAGGAACTCACAATGGAGACCAAACTGGCCTTGAATTGCAGAGATCTGTCTGCCTATCTGCCTCTCAGGTGCTGAAATTAGAAAAATGTGTGTGCTGCTATGCCCGGCTGGCTTTTATACATTCTTTTCCTTTTACATTCTATTTTCTAGTAAGTAGATTAAAGAACGTTAACTTTCCCGTTTACTCAGAAGGGACATTCAGTTACCCTTTCATATTCCACATAGTTTAAAATTGAATTATCTTTATAAGTTAAAACCCATTATAATGTTGAAGAGTTTGAAACTGATGTGTAACTTGTACTTTTTACCTTATGCTTATGTTGTTCAACTTTTATTGCAAGTTTTTCATTGCTCATTAAAGCAAAGTATACCATGCTGCTATAAGTAGGTTTTTGGTCAAAAGTAAGTAAGACCATACCATTTATCCCAATAAAACGTAATGAATTCTAGTAATCTTTTCTACTAAGATTAATTTTGTTATTCATTAAATGTAATTTAACCTGCTTGATACCTGTTTTAAGCAAACTGGTTACATTTTAATGTAGTTTGGTGTTTCTATCTATTAAAAATACCTTGCGATCACCTTGCGATTGAATATAGTTCTATCTTCTAATTAGTTTCACCCAGAAGATTATGATAGAAAGGAAGTAGTAATTCATAAGTACAAGTTAATCTCATTTTTAAAAGATGGAGATTGTGTTTTCATGGTTCAGATTATGTTGGATTTTCAGACAGGTGTCCTAGTTACTGAGAATTACTACTTACTTTTGCAAATGTCACTTTTCTAGGCATCCAGACCCAATTGTGTGGACTTGCTTTTCCCTGTTTTATTTGCTGTCGACTCAGTATTTCAATAAAATATACTGAACTGTTTTCTATTAATACCAGTGCTTCTTAGATTCCATAAGATTGCATCCTGAGAAATCCTGGTAAACAGAGAAAAATGAATGTGATGTATATTTAATACAAACTGGTGAACACTAACTCTTGGCCTACAGTGTTACATTGCCTTTGTTACTTAGTGTAAAGTTTGTTAAAAACATCAAACCATGTGTATTTGTAATAGACCATTCATTTGAATGTAGTGGGCTATGTAGTGCTTGCTACTTTTGTGTATATGTATACATATCTCCACAGTGCATCACTCCTGCTGCTCCCAGTCATGATACCAGAAAATATAATTTGTCATATTGCTATGAGCACAGGACCTGTTCTTCACTCTTGCTCTTTTCCTTTCCCATTGTCATGTATTTTTAAAAAAGTGTTTATATAGTAAGGCAGGTAAGTCAGTTATGCCAATGAAAATATATGACTCCAGTCAGATTTTTTAAATCTGCTAATGTCCTTTATTGTAAAACAAGGTATATGTATATATGAGGTTTCTAGTACATTCCTAGTAATGGACAGAGACAGTACCATTGTTTCAAACAAGTTTATGATTCTCAGAAAATATATTAGACTATTTTCACATGTTAGCATGGTAGATTAGGAACTTTCAGAAGTAAGCATACAACATAGAGTATTTTTTTGTTCTCTACACTATTAGGGAAAACTTACTGTTGCAAAGTCTGGTGTTGATACTTTGAAAAAAAGTGAAGTAGTATACAATTATTTGAGATGGGAATAAAGTTAGTTAGAATTCAGTTTTAGTGGGCAGTGATGGCACATACTTTGAATCTCAGCACTCAAGAGGCAGAGGCAGAAGGATCTCTGAGTTCAAGGCCAGCCTGGCTTATAAGGTTTCAGGACAATCAAACTTTTAAAGAGAAACCCTGTCTCAAAAAAACAAAAAAAATAAATAAATAAAAGTAGGCCAGGTGGTGGAGGCACACGCTTTTAATTCCAGTACTTAGGGGGCAGAGGCAGGCAGATTTCTGACCTTGGTCTACAGAGTGAGTTCTAAGATGCCAGGACTACCCTATCTCAAAAAGACAACAACAACAAAAACAAAACAGTTTTAAACATTTACCAAACATGTTTTTCACCTTGGCTTTGATCCCACCACTCCCAAAATTAGAACAGAAAGCAAGGATCAAAATACAGGTTCTTAATGGAATTAAAATTTGTAAATAGGATTTACTCAGAGGAAGCCTGTACTTCATTTGTTTCATCAAATGAATTCTTTTTTGTTGTTGTTTAAAATACCACAGACATTTTAAAAAGGAAGTTGTGTACCTTGTCTCATCATTTCATTTCTGTTGGTCTATTTTCTAGGCCTTTGGAAACCTATTTAATGTATAATAAACTGAGCAACAGAATTACATAAAACAATGTGTCTGTAAATGTTAAATACCACAATAGAAAGTAATTCTAAGTTTTGAGAATTGGTATGAGGAGGAAATAAATAACGTTCATTCATTTACTGAGTATTTGGAGCTCTGCTTAGAATTTTATTCATTTTATCATTTTACTTCTTTTAGGTAATCTACTCATTTTACCTTTTTTAGGGGTTCTTTGAATTCTTGGTATTTATTTGGTGTGTGTGGGGGGGGAGTTACTTCATATGCACCACATGCATTCAGCAGCCACAGAAGATGGACAGCATGGGAGACCTTGGAACTTGAGTTGTAGTTAGTTAACCATATTTACTAAGAATTAAACCTGAGTTCTCTGCAAGTGCTCCTAAACTTTGACCTGTTTCTCCTGCCTAATAATTAGCTTTTGTTGCTGTTATTGTTGTTTTACACGCAAATGTAATTGTTTGCATACATGTTAATCCTGTTGACTATATATATATCAATCCTCTATCAACAAAGGTTTTCTTCTGTAGGTTTTTCAGTAAATTGTTCCTTTTCCTATACTGCAACTTTTTAATGATATATGTTAATATCTGGCATCATTTCCCAAGTACTTGGGGGTGGTGGATATTTGCATACATATGTGCAAGATTTATCAGAAAAGAAACATGTTACATTCCACATCTTCCAGGTTGTGAAAGATTTGCCAAGCTCTTCTGGGACATAGTTCTGAGCTGAATTTGTGGACCAAATGCAAAATACTGTCATTTTTCCAGACCAGAATGGGACAGGCTAGACTCCCCCTAGGTACTCCAGTACCTAGGCTAGAATATTGAGTCTCTATTCTGAATTTTTTTTAAGAATGTATTTGTCTGTACCTACTTTGAACTGTTTTCCTTCTGTTTATTTTAACAGTTTTTGGAGTTTCAGATCTTATCTTAATTTTTTAAAGCAAGGTAAGAGTTTTTATCTTTTAAGGGTAGCTGTCTAGTTAAGCAGTACTAGTCTGTGGAATAGAAAACTTTTCTCCATCTTTTATTTGTGTTATCTGTCAAAATTAGCTTGCTGCTGCCGCATGGATTTACGTCTCGGTCCTCTGCTCTCTTCATTTATGTGCTTGTCTGTATCTGTTCCAGTATGCTGCTATTTGCTTAAGATGTCTTTAATTTTCTATGCTTCTCTTGATTTCATATAACTTTCAGATTTTTTTTTATTTCTGTGAAGAACTTAGAATTTTGATATGAATTGCATGGAATCTGTAGATTGCTAATAGACTTACATTTTCACAACATCAATTCTGCCAATCCATAAACATCAACTGTCTGACACCTTGTAGTATTCTCTTTAACATTTTTTTTTAATCTTTAAATTTTTCAGCTTTACTTTGATAGGATTATTCCAGCAGGGTTTATTTTTCTTGATGTTTATTGTTGGTGGTGGTGGTGTAGTTTGGTTTGGTTTTTTGTTTGAGACACGATTTCTCTGTGTAGCCCAGGCTGGTCTGGGACTCATAGAGGTCTATCTGCCTGCCTCTGCCTCCCTAGTACTGGGATTAAGGCATGCACCACTACTG